TAATTTTGCAATGATGTAAGTGGTTTTTTTACTAATTTTTGCAATGGCGTTTGATGACTAATACCGCCGGTGTCAGCCATTAGAGCACAATACCTGCAAAATAAACCTTGTTCCACATGCGAGTATGTCAACCATGCATTAAATGTTTCCAAGTGACTTTTCAAAATGTACCGTTTTTCATTTTTACCATTTTTAATATGATTTGAATACGGAAATTTGTAGCCAAATTCTGGTTTCCATGGATTTTGTAGAAGTTCAAATTTTATATCATCATTAATTGTTTTATTACTGCTGCCCACATACAGTCCAATATCATTATTATGTACAAAATCCATTTGTTGATAGACTTTTTCATTATTCTTTATCTTGTTATCTTCGTCATTATCGTGCAAAGCTACTTGCTCAAATGATTCATCATTTTTAACAATCACTTTTTCATTATGATTATCGGAACTATCGCCTTCATGTAGTTCTAAAAAAATAAACTAAATTTAACTTAACTCTGAACACTTATTTAACAATTTCTATGCTACTAGTGAACAAATTCATATCGTATGGCGATCTAACCTGGTGGATGTTGTTAAATTTCTTATTACGTAGATCGCTTAATTAATTGATACAATATTGAAAGACATTAATAGACAAGAAATAAACTTTGCAACGTTCTCGACTTGTTTATTATCTACCGGATCAACAGAAAAGGAAAAGTGAAGTTACATACAAAGCAAAGAACATTTGGTCCAAAGAAAATAAATGTATATTATCAATCATAATGTTTTAATATAAAACATAAAAACTTAACACCTTCTCATTTTATTTAAAACATTAGATGACCTTAACCTAAATGTTCTGAAGACCCGTCGCACACATCAGATTCTTTAGTCTTGGTCCTACCATTGGTTTTGTCAGAGCATCAGCAACTTGAAGTTCTGTCGCAACTCGTTCAACTGAAACTTCTTCTTCTGCAACTTTTTCTCTGACAAAGAAATGTCTAATGTGGATGTGCTTTGTTCTTCTGTGAAGTTCTGGATTGTGTGCTAACCGAATTGCTGCTTCATTGTCGACAAAAATTTCTGGTTTTTTCTTTAGATCTACGATGTCGTTCAACAATCGTTTGAGCCATATCACTTCACGAGCTGCTTCACTTGCGGCAACGATTTCTGCTTCAGTAGTTGAAATCGCAACTGAGGGCTGACGTTGGCTAAACCAACTGATCACGCTTCCTCCAAACATACAGATTACACCTGATGTCGATCTTCCACTAGATTTATCTCCTCCATGATCTGCATCACTGTAGGCTATAAGTGTATTGTTTTGACCAGACTTGTAAGCAATACCGACATCAGCTGTGCCTTGCAAATATCTGAAAATTTGCTTAACTTGTGCTACACTGGACTTGCTGGGTTTCTCTAAACTTCTGGATTCTACTCCAACTGCATATGCAATATCTAGTCTTGTTCCCGTCATCAAGTACATCAATGCACCAACTGCTGATCTGTAAGGAAATTTCACTTCCTCATGTTCATTTTTGTTTTCATCGAACTCCTCAGATTTTGAAATCGGAGTTGTACAGGATTTACACTGACTCATCCCAAACTTTTCAAGAATCATTCTTGTATAGGATGACTGACTGACATTAATATTTCCCTTCTCATCTTGATTAATCTCTAATCCAAGGAAATATGTTGCAGGTTTAGATGTTATCTTGATTTTCACTTTAATTCTTTTTCAAATATTTTTAGTTCTTCTTTATCGGTTCCTGCAACTAGTCCATCATCAACATACAGTGCAAGTATGAGTTTCTTTCCTCCCTGTATTCTAATGAACAAACAAGTATCTGCATCGCTTCGTTTGAAATGTCTCTTTTTCAAGAATTCAGCAAAGCGTTTGTTCCAACATCTTGGAGCTTGTTTAAGTCCATAGAGACTTCGCTTGAGTTTACAGACTCTTCCTGAATTATCTTTAAAACCTTCAGGTTGCTCCATGTAAATATCTTCATCTAGTTTGCTGTATAGAAATGCTGTTGACACATCAAACTGCATGAGTGACATCTTTTCATTTGCAGCAACACTTAATAGTGTTCTTATAGTGAACT